GATTAACCACAATAACTGACATTTACCAAGTTCTTGACTGTGAACCAGGTACTGTGCTAATAAGCTCTTTACATGGTTTATTACTTAATCTTCACAACCACCCTCTAAAATAGGTACTGTTATTAGCATCCCTAGTTTTTAGAAGACATTGCAGTTTAAAGATTCTAAGCAGTTTTATCAAATTCTGTGTGGGTCAAATAAGTTAGGGTAGAGAATTGAAATGAATTAAGCAACATATGGAACTCATTGATGACTTTGATGAGCATTTTGGGTGGAATGGTGGAGAATAACACAGTGGGTTCAGAGAATGGTATGAGAGGAATAGAAAACAATGAATATATGCAATTGTTCAACAAGTCTTGCTAAAAAGGGGGACAGAGAAATTGATTGGTAGTTAGGAAGGAAAGACATGGAGTCAAGATTTGTTGTTTTGGAGGGAAAGGAGTAACGGGGTGTTTGTATGCTGATGAGAATGCTCCAGAAAGATGGGGAACAGCCCTGGCCAGGCGGGTCACTTAGTTGGAGCATTGTCTTGTGCACCAAAAGATTATGGGTTCAATTTTCAGTCAGGGTATATACCTAGTTGCGGGTTTGAGCCGTAATTCAAGTTTGTATGGGAGGCAACTGATTGATATTTCTCACATCAATGTCTCTGTCTCTCTCTCCTTCTCCCCTCCCTTTTTCTCTCTATAAAATCAATAAACATATTCACAGGTGAGGATTAAAAAAAGAAAAGAAAATGGGGGAACATTAAAAATGCATGGGAGAAAATGGACAACTATGGAGTGATGTCCTTGAATACACAAGAGGAGATGGAACCTAGTGCACCAGTGGAGGGTGCGTGCATAGCTGACTCAGGGTAACTGGAGGGAAGGTGGTTAGTTATTCGAGCGTGGATGAGACAAGTAGGCCGATATGCAAATGAGCACTTGTGGCAGGTCTTTTCTGATAATTTTAGAGGGAGAAAAAGCAAGATTGTCTGAGAGTGAGGACAGAGGGCAGATGTTTCCCAGGGTCTAGATTCTGATGTAAAGTATGCCAGGAGTCAAAGTCTTTCATTTGGCTGTTTTATTTCTTTTATGTTTTCTCTAGTGAATATTTCTCTTACTTTATAGGACAGTACGCATTTGAAATCTTCATTTTGGAATTCCAGGTATTTATTACAATAAGTGCCTAAAAACATGGTGTTTTGTTATTTTTTTATATTACAGAAAACACAGCTGAAAGATAGAAATTTTAAGTCATTAGAGATAAACTAAGGAATGGGAACAAGATAGTGGTAAGTGAGAATGAGATCATAACACATTACTTTAAAAATTTTATTGAAAAAAAACGTTTGCCTTGCCGTACATTAGCCACTGTCATTTCCCTTCTTTGCTCCTTTGGTATCTGCTAAACTGTACACTGTTCATCTATTGCCTTTTATTCCACCTTCCCCTTAACTGGAAATCTTAGATCTCAATTAATTGAATTGGGACTGAAATCTTGAAGATAATTTCTTGATTTAATAGTGTAATACCTCTTTCCAAGACTGACTGTGCTTCACTTTTATAACACTTGATAATCTTTACCATCTTTCTTCTTTGGAACTCCATTCTTATTGCTTCTGTGGTATTACACTATTCTCCTCTTCTCCTGCTTTTCTTTTTTCTGACTGTGGCCTCTTCCCTTTGTCTTACCTCCTCCTCGTGTTCCATAGTTCTCACCCCACTGCTCTTTCTGTATTCAGTTCAGCTCAACGTATTCAGCATCTACGATGTACTAGGCACTATGGATGCAAAGAGCAGGAGACTCATTCCTGCCCTCCAGGAACTCAGGTTCTACACTGTTTCCTTTTCCTAGAGTTGGATAATTAACCAGGCTTTGAGGTTGTCATCTTAACTCTGCCCCTCAGTGTCTGCGAGACATTCAACTTCTGTCTGTCTTTATCTTTCTGCCCCTTGGTGTCTGCAAGAACCAGCCATTCAACCTCTCTCTGTCTTTCTCTTCTGTAAATCAGAGATCAGTACTACAGTTACCTCATGGGGCTATTTTGAGAATTAAATGATTGAATACAAGTAAAGTATAAAGAACAGCCTGGCACATAGAAATACTCAAGAAATATTTGTAGTTTTCATTACCTACCCCCCCTGCCTCCTCACCCCTGTGCCACTCGATATTCAGATGGCTACTGCCCTCAACCTCATTTTGGTCTTTGTTCACATGTCACCTAGAGAGTTTTACCCTGCCCACCTTATTTAAAATAATTGCCCTCTCACCGTCATCATTCTGTACCTTTACTCTGCCTGCTTTTTCTTTACAGTACTTACTGCTAACTGGTATTGTATTGTGTTTGTGTGTGAGCTCTGTAAGATCTGGGCCTTTGATTTTTTTCCCTGCTGTCACCTCAGAACCAAGAACAGTGACTGGCACAAGGTGGGCACTCATTAAATGTTTGTTGAGTGAATGAATAAATAAAATGCTGATTTAGACCATGTGTTTACCAATTGCTTTGTTCACTGTTCCTTGCATTTCACTTTTTCTAGATTCAGTTTCTTCTTTGCTGAGGCATATCTTTAAAAGTTCTTACAAAGGTTTCTACTAATCATAAACTCTCATTTTGGTCTGAAAATATCTTTATTTTCCTACCACTTTTAAATGATAGTTTAGTATAAAACACTAGATTGAGAGTTATTTTTATCCTGTGTAGATGATGATGATATCATCATCATCTTGAAGATGACATTAGTAGTAGTATTATTTTGCCTCTGGCTTACATAATCAGTCTAATTGTTGTTTGTTTATGGATAACTTATTCTCTCTTATTAATACTTTTTTGTCCCTGATATTAAACCATTACACTGTGAATTTTCTAAGTGTGGATTTATTCTTATTTATACCACCTAAGACTTGTGGTTATTTTGTTCCTAAATTTTTATGCTTTTAACCATTTTAAGTATTCACTTTATAGTTCATAGCTCATTCAGAAATTATTGGAAGTCTTCTATCCTTTTTGTTTCTGATGGCTCTTGTTTGTGGTAAAGTTGAGAATGTCTTCTTAAGGTTTCAGTTATTCTAATGTGTGGCTTGTTTAGAGAAATGGTATTTCTGTGTTTGTTTCATCCAGGTGCTTTGGGGATGTCACTTGCTTAAGACAACTTTTAGGTAAATTTCTTTGCTTAAAGTAGTATAAAACTGAATCCCAAGTCACATGTCCTTTTAATTTAAAAGAATACCATTGTCCATCTAGTTTTAAGGTCTGTAGAGTGAGGCAGAAAATACATTAAATATTTTAAGATTTACAAGTTTAGAGCTCTTTAGACTTAAATGGAAAAGACAAGGGCCTGTTTTTTTAATTTAAAGAAAATTTTAATTAACTTTATTGGGATGGCATTGGTTTATAAGATTATATAGGATTCAAGTGTACATTTCTGTGATAACATCATCTGTATATTGCATTGTGTGCCCACCATTCAAAGTCAGGTCTTCTTCCATCACCATATATTTAATGCCAAAGAAGAACAAGGTACGATCAACTAATTAACCTACCCGAGAGTGGTGGAATTCTACCATTAGGCTAAAGAATTAGTAATGTTATCATCCTCTTTCCCCCCACCTTTGAAGTGAGAGAATGACTGGTTTCGTGACTTAAAATCAGGCTTAGATGTCCCATCAGAATCACTGACAAGAATCCAGTAACCATCCTAGTTGAAATAATCTGGTTGTGGGAACATCAAAATGCTAAGGAGGCAATCTCCATGATGTTAAATGGAATTGTATAACATTTGTGTACAGCTCCAGGTTTTATACCTGATGTAATTTCTAGTTAAATGTTACTTTCATTAACTTGGATGATAATTATCTTCTGTAGTGGGTAAGCATTCTTTAATTCCAGGAAGATTTAGAATTAAGAATAAAAATATCTAAGAGTATTAAAGTTATAATTTTTCCTGCTAAGGGATATGCACATTACTATATATTAATTATTTTAAGTATTTGTAATTTAAGTATTTGTAAAGAAAACATGACTAATTAAGTACACAATTGCTGTTTAAAATGTATTATGGAATGATTTATATCTGGGTTTTTTTACAAAAATTATGTTAACTACTTTGGGGGAACATTTAGGAGAAATATATGCTTACCTTATAAGTTTAATTTACTAGGTTTATAAAAGTATTTATATGTAATTTATTGTAATTCATTAAGTAAGACAGTTGTGGAACTGTAAAGGAGGAAGTAAAATTTATTAAGTTTATAAATTTAGGTAAAAATTTTTGGTGGCATCTTATTAACCAGGTTTGTAAATGGGATCAAACATTATTCAAAAGCCTCTGAAAAATGATTTCTGGAATATGCTACTCTTAGAGAAATACTTGTACAGGGGGAAACCCAGAAAACACCAGGATTGTCTTCTGGAGGGTTTGGCTCTCTGTAGTACAGGCTTCCCCACTAGGTGATTGTTCTAGGAACCCATCTGTACTAGCGCACTAGCTGGCGTTATTCTGAGAGGCTGCTTTGGCTTCAGTGAATTTCTTTTGAAGGCTCTTTCAGCATGTTTGCCCATTTCATGATGGACGATTTACGAGCACACCTGCCCACAGCTCACTAAGTGTTCAGCAGTTTTTGACCAAAACAGCATGACCCCTGTGCCCCATCCTTCCTATTCATCTATTCTCCTTCTTCATCTGTCCCAAGCAACTCTTTTTTGTTTGCCTGAGTGAAAAAGTCCTCAAAGGGAAATATTTTGCTGATGTGGAAGAGGTGAAACAAAAAACGGCAGAAGCACTAAAGGCATCAAAATAGACTTGTTCAAAGACTGTTTTGAGCAGTGGAAAAAAACGTCTGAATAGGTGTATTGCATCAAATGGAGAGTACTTTGAAGATGACTGAAGTTTAAACATGTAAGAATAAATAAACAATTAAAAATATATATTTTATTGATATGCTATTACACTTGTCCCATTTTTTCTCCCCTTTATTTCCCTCTGCCCTGCACCTCTGCTCCCACCAGCATTCCCCACCTCTAGTTCATGTCCATTGGTCATACATGTAAGTTTGTTCTTTGGCTTTTCCATTTCCTATACTATTCTTAACCCCACCCCTGTCTATTTTGTACCTGCCATTTATGCTTCTTATTCCCTGTACCTTTTCCCTCATTTCCCCTCCTCCCCCTCCCCACTGACAACCCTCCATGTGATCTCCATTTCTGTGTTTCTGTTCCTGTTCTAGTTGTTTGCTTAGTTTGTTTTGTTTTTGTTTGTTTTAGGTTTGGTTGTTGATAGTTGTGAGTTTGTTGTCATTTTTACTGTTCATATTTTTGATCATCTTCTTTTTCTTAGATAAGTCCCTTTAACATTTCATACAGAAAGGGCGTGGTGATGATGAACTCCTTTAATTTGACCTTGTCTGGGAAGCTAAGGCTCTACCCTGTACTACATAATTGGCATGCCGAGATAAAAAATGTGGCCCAAATGGAAGAACTGATCAAAGCTCTGTTTTGAGAAAAAATACAACTAAGTGATGAAGAGATAGCCCACCTATGAAATGCAAAGTTCAAAACACTGGTAATCAGTATGCTCACAGAAATAGGTGAGTGCGGTCACAAAATAGAGGAAGAAGTGAAGGTGGTGCAAAGTGAAAATAAAAATATACAGGGAACCAGCAGGGAAGGGAAGGAAACTGAGACTAAATCAACAGTTTGGAGCAGAAGGAAGAAATAAATGTCCAACAAGAACAGAATGAAGAAGCAAGAATTCAGAAAAATGAGGAGAGGCTTAGGAACTTCCAAGACAATTTTAAATGTTCCAAAATCCGAATCATAGTGGTGCCAGAGGGAGAACAACAGCAAGAAATTGAAAACTTATTTGAAAAAAAATAATGAAGGAGAATTTCCCCAGTCTGGCAAAGGAAATAAATTTCCTAGAAGTCCAGGAAGCTCAGAGAGTCCTAAACGAGTTGGACCCAAGGAAGCACACACTAAGGTGCATCATAATTACATTACCCAAGATTAAAGATAAGGAGAGAGTGTTAAAAGCAGGAAGAGAAAAGGAGACAGTTACCTACCAAGGAGTTCCCATAACACTTACCAGCTGATTTCTCAAAGGAAACCTTGCAGGCAAGAAGGGGCTGGAAAGAAGTATTTGAAGTCATGAAAGGCAAGGACCTACATCTAAGATTACTCTATCCAGCAAAGCTATCATTTGGAATGGGAGGGCAGATAAATACACAGTTTTTTATAAATACTTTTTGTTTTGGTTTCCCCTCATAACCTGAATTTATAAGCTTTAAGGAGTAATTGATTTTTTTTGCATTTTAATAAGTTGAATATTTTAAAAAGGAAAGTAAGCCTTTGAGGCATATTTTCTGCACAAACAGCACCCTTGGAGACACAAAACAACTCATATCAGCATGGCCTGTAGTGCTCAATGTATTTCTGAATATGATTGATTTGCTTGTTAGGTAATGAGGGGAGGATTAACCCTGTATAGCCTTTTGAATTATGTAGCATAGTGTCTTGTATTCGTTAAAAATTGGGGTATGTGTTGAATATTTTGAACAGATTGACTCCTGTATATATCATAAAATATTTGTTTATAATCTTCTGATAGTAAAAAACTATAATTTCCAAAGTCCTTTTTAGAACTGGAACTTATCATTAAAGATCAAATTCTGTGAAGTCACACGATTTACGAAGAGAGTACCACTGCAGTTCAGTGGGAAGGGTGGGTCTTATCAATAAAGGTCTCTAGGTGAATTGAATATCCATGTCAGGGAAAAATCTTGAATCCCTGCTTTATACCATGTAGAAAAATTAATTTGAACTAGATCACTACCAAAATGTGAAAGGTAATAAAATAAATGTTACAGAAGGTAACGTAGAAGAATGTCATCATGATCCTGGGCTAGCAAAGATTTATTAAAAACTGGACACTAAAGTATTAAAGATAAAAGTCGGGTAAGTCAGAATTCTAAAATTATGAGCTTCTCTTCCTCAGGAGACTCACTGTAAGAGTAAAAAGGCAAGCCATGTACTGGGAGAAGATACTTGCAATGTGTGTGTCTCAGAAAGGTCTTGTATCTGGAATATATACAAGTACATCTCATTTTATTGTGCTTTACAGATAATTGCATTCTTAAAAATCAGTTCAGGGTTTTTATAGCAACTCTACATCGAGCAAATTGATCAGTGCATTTTTCCAACTTTTTCTCACTTTGGTCTCTGTGTCACATTTTGGTAATTCTCGTAATATTTCAGACTTTTTTTATTACTGTATTTGTTATTGTGATCTGTGATCAATGATCTTTGATGCTACTATTCTAATTGTTTTTAGACTCCATGAACTGTGCCCATGTAGACAGCGAATTTCATTGATAAATGTGTGTGTTCTGACCTTTCCACTAACCCCAAAGTTGTACCCCCCCTCTGCCCTCCCTGTTCCCTGTGACACTACAATATTGAAATTAGGCTAATTAATAACCCTCCAGTGGCCTGTAAGTGTTCTAGTGAAAAGAAGAGTCACATATCTCTCACTTTAAACCAAAAGCCAGAAATGATTAAGCTTAGTGAGAAAGGCATGCTGAAAGTTGAGATAAGCTCAAAGCTAGTCCTTTTGTGCTGAGTAGCCAAGTTGTGAATGAAAAAGTTCTTGGAGGAAAGTTAAAAGTGCTACTTCACCAAACATATGAATGATAAGAAAGTGGAATAGCCTTATTGTTGATGTGGAGACTGTTTTAGGAGTCTAGATAGAAGATCAAACCAGCCACAACATTCCCTTAAGCCAAAGCCTAAGACAGAACAAAGCCCTAACTCTCTTAAATTCTAGGAAGTCTGAGAGAGGTAAAGAAGCTGCAGAAGAAAAGTTAGAAGCTAGCAGAGGTTGGTTCATATGGCTTAAGGAAAGAAGGTGTCTCCAAACATGAAAGTGCAAGGTGTGAAGCGCAGCGAGTGCTGATGTAGATGTATTAGCAAGTGATCCCGAAGGTCTGGCTGAGGTAATTAATGGAATGGTCACTACATCAACAATAGATTTGCAGTGTAGGGGAAACAGCCTAATTGCAAGAGAATGACATAGAGGGATTTTTTATAGCTAGAGAGAAGTCAGTGTCTGGCTTCAAAGCATCCAAGGACAGGCTGACTCTCCTGTTAGGAGCTGATGTAGCTGGGGACTTTAAATTGAAGCTTAAGCTCATTTACCATTCCAAAAATCCTAGGGCCCTTAAGAATTATGCTAAATCTACTCTGCCTTTGAGTATAAATGGAACAGGAAAGTCTGGATAACAGCACAACTGTTTATAATATGGTTTACTGAATATTTTAAGCCCACTGTTGAGACCTGCTCAGAAAAAAGATTCTTTTCAAAATATTACTGCTCATTGACAGTTCACCTGGTCTCCCAAGAGCTCTGATGGAGATGTATGAGAGTAATGTTGTTTCTATGCCTTCTAACATAACATTCATTCTGCAGCCCCTGGATCAAGGAGTAGTTTCAACTTTTAAGTCATACTTAAAAGTTGTTTTAAAAATACATTTTGAAAGGCTATAGCTGGTATAGTGGCTCTTCTTACAGATCTGGGACTAATAAACTGAAAACCTTCTGGAAAAGATTTACCAAACCATTAAGAACATTTGTGATCAATGGAAGAGGGCAAGATATCAACATTAACAGGATTTTGGAAGAAGTTGATTCCAACCCTAGTGGATGACTGAGGGATGCTAGACATCAGTGGAGGAAGTAACTGCAGATGTGGAAATAGCAAGAGAACTAGAAGTGGATCCTGAAGTGGATCCTAAAGATGTTACCGAGTTGCTGTACTCTTAAGCTAAAACTTTAATGGATGAGGAGTTGCTTCTTAAGGGTGAGCAAAGGGAGTGGTTTCTTGGGATGGAATCTACTCCTGGTGAATATGCTGTGAAGATTGTTGAAATGGCAATGAAGGATTTAGAATATTATATAAACTTAGTTGATAAAGCAGCAGCAGAGAGGGCAGATTGACTGTGGGTAAAATGCCATCAGGCAGCATCACATGCTACAGAGAAATTGTCTATGAAAGGAAGTCAGTCGAAGTGGCAAACCCTCGTTATCTTGTTTTAAGCAGTTGCCACAGCCAACCCAGCCTTCAGCAACCACCACCCTGATTAGTCACCAGCATCAACATTGAGGGAAGAGCTTCCACCAGCAAAAAGATTGACACACTGAAGACTCATATGACGGCTGGCATTTTTGAGCAATAAAGTATTTCTTAATTAAGATATGATATATTTCTTTAGACATAATACTATTGTGTACTTAGTAGACTGTAGTATAGTGTAAACATAACTTTTGTGTGCACCAGGAAACCTAAAAGTTTGAGTGACTTGCTTTATTTTGATGTTTACTTGTTGCAGTGGTCTGGGTCAAACCTACAGTACCTCTGAGATACGCCTGTAAGGAACAACCATCAATAAATCAATAAGAAAAAAATCAGACAACCCAATTGAAAAGGAAATGGTCTAACAACTGCAATAGATCTTCTACAAAAAAGGATATTCACATGGCCAATAAGCATATTGTTGGAAAGGTGTTCAACATTCATAAGTCATTCAGAGAAGGCAAAGCAACACCACAATGAAATACCATTACTCTCCTTCCAAAATGGCTAAGATGGCATTCAGACACTGTTGAAGGCAGTGTAAAATGGCATCACCACTTTGGAAAACTGGCTATATATACAAAAACTAATCTTCCATATACCCTGTGATCCAGCAATTCTAGTCCCGGTATATACTCCAAAGAAATGAATGCTTAGGTTTATCATGAACATATTCCCCATATTCATAGAAGCTTTAATAATAACCTCAAACAGAAAATAATTAAAGTGTTCTTCAACAGTAAGCTAGATAAGCTGTAGTATGTTTATGCAGTAGAATAGTGCACAGCAATGATGAAAGATAAACTAATGCTGTCATTAGGAATATGGATGCATTTTGCATTTCACAGATAATTTTTTTAAGTTGAATTTATTGGGATGACATTGGTTTGCAAAACCATACAGGTTTCAAGTGTACAACTCAAAAAAAATCATCTGCACAATGCATCATGAGCCTGTTGTCCCAAGCAAAGTTTCTTTCTGTCTCCACTTTTTTCCCCTTTGCCAATTTCCACCTATACCCATCCCCTTCCCCTCTGGCTATCATGACAGTGTTGTCTGTGGCTTTGTGTTACGTATATATGTTTTTGGCTAATCCCATCACCTTTTATCCAGTCCTCCCTCCACCCCTCCGACAGCTGTCGGTCTATTCCATGTATCCATGCCTCTGTTTCTGTTTTGTTCATCAGTTTATTTTATTCATTAGATTCCATAAGTAAATGAGATTATATGGTATTTGTCTTTCTCTAACTGGCATATTTCACTTAGCGTAATAATCTCCATGTCCACTCATGCTGTCATAAAAGGTAAGATATCCTTCTCTTTTACAGCTGAATAGCATTCCATTGTGTAAATAAATGTGCTACAGCTTTTTTATCCACACATTTCTAAATGGGCACTTGGGCTGCTTCTAAATCTTGGCTATTGTAAATAACACTGCAGTGAACATAAAGATGTATGGT